ATAAATCTCCCCATAATATTTCACTAAAACCAGCCCAGCAGGAAGTCATAAAATATTGTTAATAGGTAGTATTTCCTAAATGTTGTACTAGAATAAACTAGCCTGTTTTATTCAATATTTAGTCTTCTGAAATAGATTAAATTTGAAAAAGGAGAAATTGGTGTAATTCAGGGATTAATATAAATTTTATTGATAAAAAATTTTTTAGTCACATGGGCAGCAGTGAAATTTTCTCGGAATCAGACAAGGATTGTCAGACAGGAATAAGAAGTTGTAGCCAAGTACCCTTACGCACGCTCAAAGACCCCAAGGCAGGTAAGAACAGTAAGAACAGTCTGTTAACGCATTTCAACACTATTTTATATTAAAACCCGTGAACCAGTTTCCAAATACACAATGAAAATTTTTGTTCAAGATTCTGAGAATCCATGTCATTCCCCCCCTCCCCCCGCCCCAGTGAACAATGTTTACCAGTGACTTTACTTGGTCTGAAAGAGGCTTTGAATCAAGTCTAACCAACAACCACTACCTCCTCACTGGTGAACTCATGAGGGCACCTCAGGGTGCATGCAGGTCCCTCCTGCTCCTGCAGGATGCATCACAGTGTGATCCAGGGTAAGGCAGTAACTGCCCCCAGATCTGCATTTGCAATGGGCACACACCAAGATGAGTGCAGTGACACACACCTGTCAAAACAACACTCTCAGGTTTCTTTATTCGGTCTAAGTCATGTTGTTGGTCCCTCTCTGGAACATTTCAGTCACAGTTTCTTTTTTGTTTTTGTGTTTTGGATTTTTGGGTCACACCCGGCGTTGCTCAGGGGTTACTCCTGGCTCTGCACTCAGGAATTACTCCGGCGGTGCTCAGGAGACCATATGGAATGCTGGGAATCAAACCCAGGTTGGCCGTCTGCAAGGCAAGCGCCCTACCCGCTGTGCTATCTATCGCTCCAGCCCCAATAGCCACAGTTTCCTCGTCAGCTTCCTTCTTGCTTCTATGCCACACAAAAAGGAACCTGCCTCTCCACTTGAATACCATGTTCTTGCCTTCTGGAGTATCAGATAATTTTGAGTTTCAACCTGGCCAGCACATCAGCAGAAGCACTCATGCTGGAAACAAACTGGAATGTGTACTCTTGGCTACGTATGCAACACCCTCAGTTGCCGTTGCAGCAACCGAATAGGAAAACCCTTTTCTAGCTTAGCTACTGTCCCTAAAGATTTTGTACTGACCAACACTTCAGAGCAACGATAGCCAGAGAAGTCAGGCACTCGGACAGCTGCGTGAAAATCACGAAGAGAAGCAGGGACACTGAGGCCTCGGGGGCAGCCCACGGAGGGTCTCGCCACACAGCGACTCCCGGCACAGCCAAGGCTGCTGAAGGCTCTGAGCTGCAGACACCCACTGCCCTGTGGGACGTGGCCAACAGGAGGGGTGTGCGTGGGCTGGAGCAAGCCAGACACGGAGACAACTGCTCCGCCAGCATCTCACAGGGACGGGGGAAAACTCAGCCAGCACTTCCAGCACTGGCTGGTGTGTCCCATGGACCACAAAAAGAAGAAAGGTCAAAGTTCGTTGGCAAGGGCTTGGCAAACTTTTTCTATACTAGATTTGGTCTCTCAACAGCAACTACCCAATTTTGTTGTAGTAGATCAGAGAAAATGCATAAACATACAGCCATGACTGTCTTCAAACAGAACATTATGAACACTGAGTTTCTATAATCTTTTACATTATAAAACGCCACATTAAAAAACAGAATAAAATCATCCTTAGCTTGTGGGTCATACAAAAACATGACGATAATACTGGATTTGGTCTGTGGGCTATAGTTTGTCAACTCATTTTATAAAATTGGTGATATTAGGCCATTTATGTCTTAGTAAGTGCTTCTAAAAGTTCAGAAAGCATTTTGTATGAGAATGAGATTAGAACATCGTGTCATTGCTCTAGGTAATCTCTTCCTCTATAAGACTAGAAGCAGACAAGCCAACTTTTCTCTAAGACCCACTTTCCATGTAATATAAAATGAGATCGTGGGGAAAATCCAAACCAAACACCTCAATCCTAGGTAAGCATGGCACGTCACAGGGACGAGAAGGAAGGATGCCCAGGCCTTTAAAGAAAGGTGACGGTGAAGTTGATTTGACCTTAGTTTTGATCACAGAGTTCACACATGGGGGCTGAAAGAAAGCATGAGGTGACTCTGGTTTGGTCCCTGGTACCTTGTAACAGTTCCCCATGCACCAGCTGCATGACACCTAAACAGAGTCAGGAGGAAGCCCAGAGCATCTCTGGCCGTGGCCACCCCCCAAATCCACACATACACTGAAATTTGTTCCTGGATTTTCTGCCCTAGCCCACTATTACTCTCCTCCTTTCTGACTTCTTCAAGCTGCAGGATCTGCTTTGATCTCGAAGTCCTCACAGCTTTTCTTTCGTATTAACCAGAGGCAATTTCACTGAAACCCGAAGGCTTTGCCTGTCATCGCCAACCTTGACTTCTCTCTCCGGAGCTCAAGCTGCCCAAATGAATATTTAAATCTATCTCAGATTAGCAAATCACCTCATTCTTCTAGATCTTGAAAATCCAAGAGTTACAATGACACCCCACATACATAGCCTCCCAACACACACAATTAGGAAATGAGATTATCTTCAGAGGGTTATTTCTTAAAAATAAAACAAACTCATTTAAAGCACTGATCTCTTCAAAGTAAATCTGAAGGTAGGCATGCTTGGGTGGGTGGGTGGGTGGGTGGGAGTACACACAGTCCTAAATCGTGCTCAGGAGACTCGGGGACCTGCTGAGGATTCCTGACACGGCCCAGGAGTGCTGTGGCCACTCAGGTCATAGCGGCCAGGCAGGTTAGGCTATCTCCTGACCCCTGGACGTTGGCCGTAAGAGTTCGAACCAGGCAGAGGTGAAGGAAACAGGTGCAAAGATAAAATTTTGTACTAAAGGAAAACTTTCCTTTTGTATGGTTAATGTGCACCAGTCAACCTGAGTTAATAAAAACTCCACTTCCACTTGTTCTGAGTCCATCTATTTTAAAATCCTTCACTTTGCAGTTATAAAACTCCTTGCTAAAGGTAACCTTCCAATGAAGATCTGAGGATCTGCCTCCAGAAAAACTGATGCAGTCATATACATAGACAATTATATATAATATGTATATAATCCCAGTTTCTGTTAAAAAGGATTTTCCATGATGAAATAATAAAGTAACTTTTGACTACCATGAGTTTCTACATACGTTCAAGTATGCAAACAAAAAGTACTCATCTTGCCAAAGTGAGTATTGCTATTCTAAGTGACTATCATATTCTCACATTCACAATGTAAACTGATGGATTAAAAGCATGGATTCTAAAAAAAAAAAGCCTGAATCTGAATACTAGTTTGTGACCATAGCCCAATTACTGTTCTCTTTGTGCTTGTTTTCTTATCTATAAAATGAAACTGGTAAGCGCATCTGGCTCACTGGTGTGACGTGAGGCGTCAGAGAAGCTACGGGGGTGGGACAGTCCTTCCACACCAGGTCCAAGTGCGCGAGACGAACGCCATCTCAAAACCACACAGCCTGGCTGCTTGCGTTGTATTTTTCTGGCCTTCTCCTTATGTATGGTTCTAATCAGATACAATTTCATCAGAAGAGATATTGAACAGTTTCAACATCTCCCTTCCTTATTTTTTTAGTGGTCTTTTGATTTTTTTCCTCCTTGGTAGCAACCAGCAGTGCTCGGGGCTACTCCAAGATCTGTGCTCAGGAGACCATAAGCAGTGCTAGGAAAAAAATGGGGTTATGCCACATGCAAGGCAAACACCTTAAACTTTGTATCACTTCTCTAGCCCTGCTTGTTGGGTTGAATCCTGGGACCACACCCAGCAATGTTTAGGGAACCATGTGGTAACACACTAAGCCAGGCCTCCTCCATGAAAAGCAGATACCCGTACACTTTGAGCAAGAGAGAGAGCACTGTGGGTAGGACACATCTACACACAGTCAACCCAAATGCTACAACGCTATAAATATTAAGTACACAATGAACTTCCGTATCAAATGTATAGTAATAGGATTCTACCACTGAGGACTTAACTAACAGAAACTATTTTGTCCATTTGAAAACCTGTATTCTAGGAAGTATACAGAATTATTATCATTTAACTGCCTAGAAACATTCAAGGTCCAGGCAGTGACAGAAGGCCTTAATCCAGCAATCCTAAGCCAAGACTAAGTTCTCTAAACCAGAGGTTCTTAACATTTGATGCACATTAGAATCCTCAGCAGAGTTCGAATAGATCTCGGTTCTCCTTCCAGACCAATTAAATGAGACTTAGGGAAGAACGCTGAAGGTTAAGATAGCTTTAAAAAATTCTCTGTGGGGTCTAGATTGCAGCCAGAGCTGAGAAACACAGTTCCAAACTGGATCAAAATCTCACGTACCTTGAGAGTTAACATAAAGGTTATCCCTTAAAGAAGAACTTCAGCTCTATGGAAAAGCCTAAACTTATCTTCCACTCACTAGCTTAGAACTACATGTTAGCACTTAATCTCTGTGTGTGTGTGTGTGTGTGTGTGTGTGTGTGTGTGTGTGTGTAGTGGTGGTGGTGTGGGGGGGGGGCATGTGACATTGGGGGGGGGGTTCTCCCACAAGAAAGTGGGAGCAAGTGTTCAGAAAGTCCTGGCAACACTTGGCTAATCAGGCTGATAATTCACTGTGAGAGCCTGCGGAGGTGATATGGCTTAGGCCTTGTGGTTCTGGGGACCACCAGGGCAATCCTGGATGCTCAGGGCCTCAGGCTTAACCCAATGATGCTCCAGAGGTCATGTGGTACCCAGAGTCGAACTCTGGTTAGGAACATGTTGTTCATGTACCTCAATAGCTGTATCTGCTAGTCTACTAAAACGAACACTTAAAGGAAAATAGCTGTTATCTTTTTCTGGGATGGATGTAACTCCTGGGTGTTTACTGCCCCAAAGGATCTGGACACTTACACTCCTCTTTACTTGGTGAAGTTACATTCATTTCTGTCGGAAGCGGCTGCTGGCTGGAACTAAGAGTTGGCGTGGTTATCGAGGTATTGTTGTTGTCACTGGTGGTCTCTTCAGAAAACAAATCTGACTGGCTGTTACTTGTACTTGGAGCGGAATCATCATCTGGTTGTTTCTTCTGAAAATCTGTGAAGAAAAAGAGAGAAAATTATTTAATCAGAAAGTTTAATTTCTAATACACTATTGGGTATTAGAAAACAACAAACATTAAAAACGAGGGACCAGAACAGGCTCAGGGTAGGAGAGCATACACCTCGCTGCTCGAGCCCCTCAGATCTCCAGTTAAAATAAGAACAAAACTGATCAACAAAACTGATCTCCAGTTAAAATAAGAACAAAACCCGGAAAGTAACAACAGAGTAATAAAAGTCTTAACTAGGATTCCTTATTAGATGTAAAATGGTAGTGGAGTGGAGGGAAGGCTTTCCAAATCCAGGCCCAGGGGGCTCAGCGGTGAAAGTGGCTACCTCGCCAGCTCTAGGCCACCGGCTTAACCCAGAATCCTGCCCAAGTGCCTCGGACACAGCCACGCGCCAAACACTTGGTGCCGCAAACAGTGCATATGATCTCACACACAGGCTCTATGGCTAGAGCACACACTTCAGGGGAGTACTACCACTAATCACTGCAGGAACTATGGTTAGAAGTAAAAGACCAGCAGCTACCCACAAAGAACACTACGACCAGGAAGTGCATGGACACCACCACCAAGTGACTGTGAATGCAGTACACACAGTGTGAGCTCCAGCTAAACTGTGTGACCCCCAGCAACCATGAGAGCCAAATGGGTGCACCCCCATCACAGCAATGGAGAGCAGGAGATACTTTTCAAGGTCGTTGTACTGTTCAGAAGAATTGTAGGCATAATAATTCTGATTTACAAAGCTAACTGCATTTTAAAAGCTTAAGGGGGAAGGACGGAAGGATAGACTGAGAGAGAAAGAGAAAGGAAGGAAGAAAGAGAAAGGAAGGGAGGGAGGGAGAGAGGGGAAGGGAGGGAGGGAGGGAGGGAGGGAGGGAGGGAGGAAGGAAGGAAGGAAGGAAGGGAAGGAGAAAGGAAGGAAGGAAGGAAGGGAAGGGAGGGAGGAAGGGAGGAAGGGAAAGGAGGAATAAAGGAAGGAAGGGAGGGGGAAAAGGGGGGTAAGGACAGATATATAAGACATAGCAGATACCTGGAAATCCTATTCTAGCAAGTTGTAAGATACAGACTGAACATAAACATGATAAAGAAATGTTCACTGTAAATGTTCAATGTATAAAAAAATCAGCAAATACACATAATTAGAAACTCAATAGCTATAGCACTGTCAGAAAATATAGACTTAAGGCAGAACACATTATTAGATTTAAAGAGGATCATTATATAATGGAAGAGAAAGAATTTATTCAGAAAGGACATTCTACACTTGTAAACAAAGCCTCAATGCACGCAAAGCGTTAACAGAAGACCGTGTTAACGGAAGACTAACAATTTTACTACCATAGTAGGAAGATTTCAATATGCCTAAGATAAAATAATTCATAAAATTAGAGGAAATTAAAAAACATAAAGAGGGCCAGACAGTGCAGCCGGACAGGTGCTTGCCCTGCATGCAGCCAACCCTGCTTCGTGCCCCTCTACAAATGGGTCCCTCAGTAAAGAGCCACTAGTAAACCCTGGCAGTCAGATGTGCGCCCAGAGCCAGAAATAAACAAATCCAGAGGCCAGGAGCCATCTTCCTGTAAGGTGTTTACTCTGCAGGTGTGAGGGCCTGGGTTTGATCGCTGGCATTATCAAAGACAAAACAAAAAAAAACCACAGATCCATTAGCCCAACAATAAGGGACGAGTTATTTTCAAATACGAAGTACTTGTAGAAAAGTGGCTAAAACTTGGTTAAACTTTGATATATAAAGCATGTTATTAAGCATGTCTCCAAGGATGCTAAATAATTGCTAAGATGTAAACACCATTTAATTTAATAAAGCAATTCAATTAAAAACTGAGAACTAAAAATGCAATGAAGTTGAAAATTTCAAAAATATTAAAGTCGTGGGTTAAATCAAAACTTAGAAAGAAAACAGTTTAATAACCACATTTTCATCCTATAAAGATCAGATTATGTACATCCCAGGCATTTCTTCCTAGGTGTATAGCTAAAACACCCAGTAGAGTCACTTGTACACAGATATTAATCATGCACTGTCCATAGTAGTAAAAAAAAAAAGAAAAAAAATCCCCAAACAAACCAAAAATAAGAACCATAAATGCTAGTGTATCCAAACAATGGATTAACATACAGTGAAAACAAGAAGAACTACTGCACGAACGTGAACCAGCCCTGACTAGACGCTGGCCCCTGGGCCCAGGGGTGCACAGCGCGCTTCACATGCAGGACGACAAGACTGGAGCCCTGGCACTGCATGCTGCGTGAGCACTGTCAGAAGCAGCATCTCCTGCCCCGCACAGGAGGGAGCAGCCCCTGAGCACTTCTTAGGGTGTGGCCCCAAACAAAACTGGAAATGAATTTCAAAGGCATAGGGTGTGCTTAGAGAACTGGATCACATGCCGAGATAATGAAACTGGATTTCTCTCTCACCCCAACCATGAGTTACCTCAAAAAGGATGAAAGATCCCAAGGTTAGACATGAGTCCTTAAAGCACACGGAAGAAAACATAGGCAGGACCCTTCCAGGATAGGAAAACTCAGATTCTATTCAATGATTTAACTCCAATGGCAAAAATAACAAAACCAAAAATGAACAAATGGAACTACGGCAAATTAATTTTTACATGGCAAAAAGAAACCTGGATTAAAATAAACAGACACCTTAGTGAATGTGAGAAAATATTTGTATACCGTAACATCAGATGCTAATACTCAAACATTGTAAGTATTCACAGCCCCACACTCAGTACAAATGGCCTGTCCAGGTCTGCATGCAGCTCCTTTGGCCCACGCCATGGCCGGAGGCCGGGATGTATCCCAGAGTTTTTCTGAAGGATGTTGTGCCCGGCCAGTGACAGCACCAGTACAACAGGATCTTCTTCTGGGTTTCCCAGGAGTGCATGCCAACACAATTCATTCCCTCCCTCACATCTCATGGGGAACACACACTGGACTCTTGTAGTGAACTCCCGGATTCTGGACTGCCTTGGCTGTTACAGATTGCAGTATGATCCTAGCTCCAATAACCTATTCCCACAGAAACTCACAAAGGCAGCCAGGGGAGTAAGGAATCATGAAACTCTAAATTCCAACCGGACGAGAGGTAGGGCCAATGACCTTGAGAGTCTTCGAAGGAACCCTTATTCAAAACTCTGAACAATTTAACAAAAACAACAACAAAAATTTCTGGACTACTCTGCCAGGCTAAGAACCACTCACTGGCAGGAAAGTGCAGGAGGGACCTCCGAAAAGACGGACTAACAGACCTCAACAGATGCAATGGGCATTCCGCCAAGGAGGCCGACACATGACACCAGCAGGCAACCAATGGGGTATGGGCCACAGAGAGGAACCAAGCTCAGAAGGGGCCACCGCCAGAAACAGGGTGAGAAATGCTGGCATATATAGTTGTATCATATGGTTATTTATCTTTAGCTTCTTGAACAAGTGCCACAGCATTCTGCATGTGTCATTTTATTTAATCTCTGTTTGTGTGGTGCTCAGTGGCTATCCTGGCTCTGAGAGTAGTTGAGGTCCCGCCAGTTGGGGGGACCATGTGCTGGGTTAGGAAGCTGAGGTAGGCAAGGGAAACAGCTGACCTCCTAGACTTCCTATCTGGATCTATGTTTCACTTTATTTTGCTTTTAAAAATGAGTTGAATTTAGTTGTTTTTACTGTTTGTTTTAGGTCAGACCTGGTGGTGCTCAGAGCCTATTTGCTCTTGGCCTGCACTCAAGGGTCACTCTTTGTGCAGCCCAGGGAACCTTATGTGTTGCCAGGGATTGACGCAAGCTGGTTCTGTGCAAGCAATCACTCAACCTGGTGTACGATCCCTTGGGCCTTGTGTTTCATCTTACAAGTCTAATGTGAGGATCAGAGAAATACAAAGGGGTAAGATGCAAGTCTCACATGACTAAGCTGACCCATTTGATCATCAGCCCTCCATGGCTTCCCACTGGGACCTCCCTGAGCACCCCAGGGCTCAAGGAGCCCCATATCCTTGGGCCAGACTGGCCAAGTATCTCTAGGAGGGAGACTGGGGTTTCTGAGCACTGCTTAAAGAGTAATTCCAACTAAAAATGTCTAATGCTAATTTATGGAGCATATATTACACTTTATCAAGTCAGAAAAGAGAAAAATGTCCTGAAATCCCATATACCACATCTTTGAGCCATAGAAACTCCTATTATGCTCTAACACTTCCTTAAAATCATGGTATGTTTTTATATTTATATTCTGAGCAGAATAGCTAGCATTCATTCACAGCTACTCTGCCCCAGGTACTCAACAATGCTTTGTGCATGTAATTTAGTTGCTTTATTTCCCAGGGTAATCCTAACAAGGCAGGTAGAATAAATGCCAATTTGCTGACGAGGAAACTGAGGAAGAGAAATTTTAAGTAATCTGTTCAGGTTAACTGGGTTTGTCAGTAAAATGAAGGAAAAGAGTTATATCTACCTCTCAGATTAATGTGGTCTAAATAAAATTATATAAAAAGGGTCTTGTAGAAACAAGTTATTAAAAACAAAAAGTTTCGGGCCAGATGACGTTGAGGGATCAAGCATGCCGGGGACCCTGGCTCACGCCCAGCACTGCAGGTGGCCCTGGAGCAAGTCCTGACATCACTGAGTGTGGCATGATCATGTGGAAGGAAGGCAGGCAAACGGAAGGAGAGGAACAGACTTGGAACGACTTCTCTCCTATGTGGGGTGACAAGGAAGCTTGGAAGGAGATGAAGAAGAGCAGGAGAACTGGTCTCCAGCAGACACGGTGCCACTGGGGCGGTGCCACTGCTACTGCAGTCAGTGTGGGCACGGGAAGGAAACTGGGGACACTGGGGGAGGGGAGTGAACACGAGTGGGGGCACTGCCGTTGACACACTGCTTGAGAATCATGAGTATCTTTGTAACTTTGCCATTAATGGTGATTCCAAACAATTCTGAAAACACCTGATCTTTGTATTTTAAGGAGACTGCTA